AGAAATACCTCCTAATAATCTTGTAGAATTGGAAGATTTACAGGTTAACTCAGCAATAGCAACACATGTTATGTTCAATAATTATCAAATTAGTATCAGAAGGGGTTTTGTGGAGATTGTAGTAATTTCAACAGTTGAGATCATGAGTCGTGGACGCGAACTACTACTGAGGAGTCCCGCAAAAGGACGAAACAACCGTCCAGTGCTTCCAGGTTTTTCATGGTTATGTAACTGACTCATGATCTCGACTATTTAAATCATCAAATTGTTATTAAAGATATCAAAATAATTCAAAAAGGCATTTCCAACACTAAAGAGAGGTGAGTAACCTAAGCGTTACACATAATGCAAAATCCTTCTACTCTCGATAGGAAAGAAGGTCTGAATATTCATCGAACTGTTTATCTAAAACAATCACAATTGACCCCATTTAATTCCCATACAATGTACACACACACACATCCACTATTACAAATCGGTGAGACTACAATTTATGAACAAAACAATCAGATTTAAGATAGCAAGTCTTAGATTTTAGAGCAAAATTTATTCATCCATTTTGACATAATAGCTAATGTCAATTTATGGTAAAGACATTAACTCTAATTTTTTTAATCTTTACATTTAATTGTAAATCATGATTCCTTACATTAATTTATAACCTTCATTTAACTCTAATAAGTAGGTGAAGATTGTCAAGATCATTTTTAGCGTTACTTGAAGATTGTTCATAAACAAAACACAAGGTGACAGATCATATAAATGTAAAAGTAATCGTGAAATATGAGTAAATTTTAAGCTTAAAATGATTAGTTACTTATAAGTAGTATAATTATAATGATGAAATTCATATAAGAATGGGTTTTTTTTGTAAAGATTGTAGTCATTTCAATAGTTAAGATCACAAGTCAATTGAATCTAGACTACCATGAAGGATGTAATCACAAATGATTGATCACTGGATGGTGATAAATGTCATACGTGTCAAGACTACCTCCAACCACCATCTAATCTCAATATATAATGCACTCAGTGTCGAGTCACCTAAACTGGTTGCCACATTGCAACATGATCGATAGCATTCGATCTGCACTAAATAAGGACTTGACATACAGGACATTGACCACTACCAAGTGATCAATCAATTGTGATTACATCTCAGTCCTACAGGAGGTCAGTCGCTAGCCGGATAGCTCAGTGTTTACGTCTCTGACTGTGAAACTGTGTGACACGAGATCGAATTCGTCAAGGAGCACCAAGATTATAAGTACACCTTGCCGACGAGTGCCAAGTAGCACAAAACCCGGTTCCAAGGTTTCCTGTCGACTACCTCTAACCAGCATCTAATACCATGAAGGATGTGCGAAGCTTGATGTCCTCAACAAGGCAATATGGTAAGTTAATCAGACAAACAAAACATCGAAACAAATCATTATTGTTTATTAACTAATTACAACTGTTCTTCATCTAATTAAAAGACTAAATATCATAAAAGTCAGAATGACTAAACCTTTTAATTGTATTTAATAAACTCTTATGATCTTAACAAAATATAGTTTATTCTTAAGATGAGACAGAAAGAGTAAGTGATCAAAAAATTTAATAAACTATTTGTTTCCTCTTCACTAATATGCCATTCATTCATAATTAACTGTTAAAGAACATATCAACGATGTTAGACAAGGTTGCTTACTTTCACCCTTTCTCTTTCTTTGGTTATCGACTGGATCATGAAGACGTCAACATCTGAGGAGAAGCACGGGATACAGTGGACATCTAGGATGTAGTTGGACGATCTAGATTTCGCAGATGATCAAGCTCTTCTATCACACACGCAACGACAAATGTAAGGGAAGATCACCAGTGTAGCAGCAAACTCAGAAGCAAGTCTCAATATACACAAAGAGAAAAGCTAGATTCTCCGATACAACACAGCATGCACCAAACAAACCACACTTGACAGAGAAGATTTGGAAAATGTATCTGATGTAGATGTGAAGGCATGAATCTGGATAGCAAAGGCAGCATATCTACAATTGAAGAACAACTGGAACTCAAAGTAATTGTCTGTCAACCAACACCAAAAACAGAACTCTCAATGCAAATGTCATGACAATTCTACCGTATGAGGTGGAAACTTGGAGAACTACGAAAGTAATCATTCAGAAGATATAAGAAGATACAAAATATTTCGGATCCATTGACCAGACACTATAAGCAACAACCTGCTGAGAGAAAGAACAAACTAGATTCCAGAGGAGGAGGAAGTCAGGAAGAAGCACTGGTAGTGGATAGGACACACATTGATGAATGCTCCCAACTGCTTCACAAGACAAGCCCTCATTTAAAGTCCACAAGGCCAAAGGAGAAGAGGAATACCGAAGAACACATTACTTAGAGAAATGGAGATAGATATGAAAAACACGAACAACAATTGTATAGAATTTGAAACGAAGGCACGGAACAGAATGGATTGGAGAATGCTGGTCAGTGGCTTATTCTTCATTGGGGTTAACAGGCGTAAGTAAATAAGTAAGTTATTAAGTAGATAGATTGGTAAAACAGTAAACTGAATTCAAGTTTCACAAGACCATAAAATCAAAGGAATCATATGCTAAAGCATTGAAAATAACAGGACCATATATTCCATTGCCTTTACTAAGGTATTTATCATAACGTTATATATGATACAGTCAATATAGATTTCTCCTTATCGAATGGTCATCTTTATACTAATGGGCATTAAACAAGATAGCGTTCCAAGGTTTACGCTCTTTATAACCTCAAAAAAGAAGGAGAACTGACTACTGCAATCGGTTCGATATAGGATATCTTACCTGTGAATTTGCTTTCCGCTACTATACCTAATTATTTACAAGTCTGAATAAGAATGAAGCTGAATAAGTTCATCGTAGAGTGTATGAAATAGGATTTGAGTATTAACACTAATCATTATGTATACCAAAGAACTATCTAGGAGCAATTTGGAAGACTCTCTCGATCTCCCACTTTGTACGAGCATTCCATGCACCTAAATAATTGATTGGTCTGGTTGTCAGAAGAGGCATCGGCCTCGTGACTTCCGAAGGAACTCGGCTTTCATCATGATGCGTCATAACTCTTCCAAATGAAGACTTCCTGACTCTCAGGGCAGAGTTTAGAAGGTTCCAATAATTTTTCCTGGTTAGCGTTTCTTTAGCAAGTTAGTTTTCTACGGGATGGGATCGCTAACCCCATGCCCAACCGTCCTCCTTTATCCGGGCTTAAAACCGGAAAGAGGCCCACGGAGGGACTCCGGGCGAAGTTTAAAGAACTATCTAGACTTTATTCAATTGTAAAATAAAGACTCAGATTATCTGATAATTTGAGCTTATCAGAAATAATAAAGTGAATATATAAATCACAGTAACCTTTAAGTTATGTAACATGTAACATTCATAAAAGTGTTGCAAACGTTTCACTATACAATATGAATTAAACGGTAAGGTATTATTCTAAGCACGGATAGATGGTGTCTAACAATGGAATCCAAAAGGCGCGTTTCGTCCTATTTGGGATTCATTAGCTGAATATACCTACATCTGAGTTGATGTTCACTCTAAGACTCTAACTAAGTACCGTCCACTTCAAACACCATCACGTTATCGACTTTAGTACTGAGTTCTAATAGCCACTTGGTTATGTAATGAGGTGAAGTTTAAATTCACTTGGTATTGTTTGTTTGTACCTTTCCACTGATGTTTAAGACTGTAATTGATCTGTCTGTTATTGGTATATCTTTATACTATGCGTATTGGTTAATAACGCGCGTCCTGGATTCCACTACTAGCCACAATTATTCATCTTTACGTGTAATGTTCGTAAATTAAGGCAATAGCGAGGCAATGTGGCCACTAGTCTAGGTGACTCGACACTACGTGTACTATGTTGAAATAAGATGATGGTTAGAGGTAGTCAACAGGAAACCTTGGATCCGGGTTTTGTGCACTCGTCAGCAAAGTGTACCTGTATTCTTGAGAGAACTGGTGCTCCCTGACGGATTCCATATATCAATAGTTGACATTATGAGTCGATTGAAGCTAAATCACCATGGAAAACTTAGAAGAACTGGATGACCGTTTTGACCTATTGTGAGACTCTTTAAAAAGTTGAACCGAAAATCTCTTACGTGGGACTAAAACCCAGGACCTTCGGTCTCGCACGCGAACGCTTAATCACTAGAACACTGACCTGGCTAGCATACAACGGTGTTAATGTCTAACTTCAAGTAATCCACGAAGTTGTTCCACCGTTTACCAATGAGTAACTGCGTCACAACAGACACAGTTGTAATCCACTCTTCATAGCTTCTCACTAGAACTCAACACAAATACCTCTTAAAATCAATCACTTTTGGGTACAAGATGATTATGAACAGAAATGTGGTTTTGTGGTGATTTTTGCAATTTAATAGTTGAACTCATGAATTGATTAAATCTAGACCACCATGGAAAATCTGAAAGCACTGAACTGCCATCTCGTTCTTGTTTGAGATACACACTATTAAGAAGTCCCATACCACGATGAAACGATCGTCTAATACTTCCAGGTTTTCAATGGTGATTCATTCATGATATCCATCTAAACTTGGAATACTTCACAACCTTATACTGTTAGTTATTTATTTTCCTTTATTTTCATACAAAATAAAGTGATAATAACTTGATCATTTAGAATCAATGTTGTCTGGTTATTTGTCGTAGATTAAATTCTAGACAATACAAAAATGTATGTAGTATAATATGAATTAAGTCAAGTATTCAAGCAATTATCATTTTGAAAATAAACACAACTCATTATACCTCATTAATAATTATTAAATAGAAAATGGAGTTTACAAATTATTGTTTACTATTTGGTGAGTACCTTTTTCTATTGTTTAATGATGTTTACTTGTAGAATATATCGGATTAATCAAAGATGAAATAAACGTTTAATAATGTTCTTTTATGTTCGGTAGACTAATTAATAATAGTAGTAGTCGTCGTAGGTGCAGTAGTCGTAGGTGTAGTAGTCGTAGGTGTAGTAGTCGTAGGTGTAGTAGTAGTAGTAGTAGTAGTAGTAGTAGTAGTAGTAGTAGTAGTAGTAGTAGTAGTAGTAGTAGTAGTAGTAGTAGTAGTAGTAGTAGTAGTAGTAGTAGTAGTAGTAGTAGTAGTAGTAGTAGTAGTAGTAGTAGTAGTAGTAGTAGTAGTAGTAGTAGTAGTAGTAGTAGTAGTAGTAGTAGTAGTAGTAGTAGTAGTAGTAGTAGTAGTAGTAGTAGTAGTAGTAGTAGTAGTAGTAGTAGTAGTAGTAGTAGTAGTAGTAGTAGTAGTAGTAGTAGTAGTAGTAGTAGTAGTAGTAGTAGTAGTAGTAGTAGTAGTAGTAGTAGTAGTAGTAGTAGTAGTAGTAGTAGTAGTAGTAGTAGTAGTAGTAGTAGTAGTAGTAGTAGTAGTAGTAGTAGTAGTAGTAGTAGTAGTAGTAGTAGTAGTAGTAGTAGTAGTAGTAGTAGTAGTAGTAGTAGTAGTAGTAGTAGTAGTAGTAGTAGTAGTAGTAGTAGTAGTAGTAGTAGTAGTAGTAGTAGTAGTAGTAGTAGTAGTAGTAGTAGTAGTAGTAGTAGTAGTAGTAGTAGTAGTAGTAGTAGTAGTAGTAGTAGTAGTAGTAGTAGTAGTAGTAGTAGTAGTAGTAGTAGTAGTAGTAGTAGTAGTAGTAGTAGTAGTAGTAGTAGTAGTAGTAGTAGTAGTAGTAGTAGTAGTTTTAGTAGTAGTAGTAGTTTTAGTAGTAGTAGTAGTAGTAGTAGTAGTAGTAGTAGTAGTAGTAGTAGTAGTAGTAGTAGTAGTAGTAGTAGTAGTAGTAGTAGTAGTAGTAGTAGTAGTAGTAGTAGTAGTAGTAGTAGTAGTAGTAGTAGTAGTAGTAGTAGTAGTAGTAGTAGTAGTAGTAGTAGTAGTAGTAGTAGTAGTAGTAGTAGTAGTAGTAGTAGTAGTAGTAGTAGTAGTAGTAGTAGTTTGTTTAAGTGTAATAGAAACACACATTCTTACGTCGTCCACAGACCGAATTGCAACAATACGGATCACCATTAAACAAGTAATCGAATGGAACTCGTCACTACATGTCAACGTTCTTGATTATGAGAAAGAATCAGACTGTGTGGACAGGCGTAAGTAAGTATGTATTCCGATCTTTATATAATTTATAAAATGTTGGTATAATTATCACGAATCAAATAGATATGGTTCATCTAATCGTGGCTGAGGAGTTTCATACTAAGACGAATAGACCATCCAGCGCTTCCAGGTTTATTTAATTTTACAAATCTGAATGTTTGTTTTCAGTCTTAATAAACTTACTTACTTACGCCTGTTACTCTTCGTGGAGGAGCTTAGGCTAACTACAAACACTCTCTATCTAACCCTGGTAATTTTTTCCAAATCTTTCCAGTTGTTATTCATCTTTTTCATATCTGTCTCCATTTCTCTAACTAATGTGTTCTTCTGTATTCCTCTTCTCCTTTGGCCTTGTAGACTCTAAATGAGGGCTTGTCTTGTGAAGCAGTTGGGAGCATTCATTAATGTGTGTCCTATCCACTACCAGTGCTTCTTCCCGATTTCCTCCCCCACTGGAATCTAGTTTGTTCTTTCTCTCAGCAGGTTGTTGCTTATAGTGTCTGGTTAATGGATCCGAAATATTTTGTATCATCTTGTATCTTCTGAATGATTACTTTCGTAGTTCTCCAAGTTTCCACCTCATACGGTAGAATTGTCTTGACATTTGCATTGAGAGTTCTGTTTTTGGTGTTGGTTGACAGACAATTACTTTGAGTTCCAGTTGTTCTTCAATTGTAGATATGCTGCTCTTGCTATCCAGATTCATGCCTTCACATCTACATCAAATCCACCTGCCCATATATGTAAAAGTTATTACATCTTCCAAATCTTCTCTGTCAATTGTGATTGGATTGTTGCATACTGTATTGTATCGGAGAATCTCGCTTTTCCTTTTGTGTACATTTAGATCTACAGCAGATGAAATTGCTGCTTCACTGGTCGTCTTCCCCTGCATTTGTTGTTGCGTTTTTGATAGAAGAGCCAGATCATCTGCTAAGTCTAGATCGTCCAACTACATCCTAGATGTCCACTGTAATCCGTGCTTCGCCTCCGATGTTGACATCTTAATGATCCAGTCGATCACCAGGAGAAAGAGAAGTGGTGAGAGTAAGCAACCTTGCCTGACACCGGTCTTCACCTCAAACGAGTTCGTCAACTGTCCTCCATGCATGATTTTGAAGTTTAATCCATCATAGGAATTCTGTATGATATTGACTATCTTCTGAGGCACGTTGTAGTGTCGAAGAAGCTCCCATAGTGTTGCACTGTTCTCTCCACCTGAAGCTTCTTAGGAGATTCTGCTGGTTTAAAGCCTGCATAAAGGAGGAGAGTTGGGCATATGATTAGCGACCATATCTCATAGAAAACTAACTGGATAAATGAAAAACTCTAATCAAAAAAATAATTTTTAATAAAATGAACTTTTTCAATTCTATCATTCAATGTTTCTTATTTGATACATGAAGAAGTTCAATGGTAATGTTAACTTGAATTCTTATTGAGAAATTTGAAGCTGTTTCGTTATATGTCATAAACTTAATTGTCTCTCTCCATTAGTCAATAGTGAATATGAATTGAGATAGAGAGTTTATCTAAGATTAGTTTACAATTCTGATGACTTAGGTTACTACTTAACATCAATTTGAGACTAAAGTTTGTGAGTTCAGCTTTATAACTCTATAACTTTGTGATCTTATAGTGAATGAGAACACAAATGAGAACAATCTAACATAATCCAATACACAGTTATAGAGTTACTTAGTAATATCCAAGAACTATATAGTAAATACTTCAGTTGTAAACTGTCAATCAATCATCTCACACTTCATTGTTCTGTGGAAGCCCGTTATTTAATCGTCATTTAGATCGAACGATGTTGTCGAAAGCGCTCTCCACTTTAGTGGCTCGAGATCGGACTCCAAGGAGATCGTAATGATGATTGCTGTTGAAATATATATGTCGCCTATCCTCGTATATAATCATCGATTTAATTCACGTCAGTCAATAATGGAATTAAATATGTTGTATAACGAGAATGGACTTTTGAATACCTATATTTTGTATATGAAGTGAATGGAATAGAGAGAACAGAAACAACGAGCAGTGAAGATGGCGGGTAAGCAAACTCTCCTTTAACCAAATGTTAATCAATATTTATAGTTACACAAAAGTAAGTTATAGACATGTAATGAGTAATGGGATCAGAAATGTACACACACGTACGCCGCTCACATAAAAACAGTCATGATTGATAAACGAATAATTAACAAGGTCAAAATGTGACTCAAGTAGGATGAATAGAATAGGCTGTCCAAATGCCAGAATAAAGTATATGAACTTGACATAATAACCGATACTACAGTTCTTACGTTTACATATTAATCATTCATTGCTCTTATTCTCTTTCCTTAGATCATCTTCACCTTCTATCGTCAGTTATTATACTTTTGATTGTTGATATATACTACTTATATCAATCGATATCAGTAGCACATATCACATTATCATTATCAAATGAAAATTATATATTGTCAAATCAAACAAGCTTCTATTGAAAGTATCTTATTATTGAACTCATTGTCTGATAACTATATACCTTTTAAAAACAAAACAAATGATAAGTTAAATGATAAGATCATTATATTATGACCTTACATTCCATGTAAATTATTATTCAACCAATCAATGGTCTCTTCATATGAACACATTAATTATCATCATTTAAGAGAAGAAAAAAAGATGATGAAAGAAGACAATATAATAAAGAAAAAACACAAAAATTGTAGTGTACTATCTTCATGATGTTGAATTGCTTGTTTCATCTTCATCTTCTTGGTCTTCTTCAACTAAGTTTACTTCTATTAACGGTATATTCCTCCATACAAAACGGTAAGTTAACAAATCACTTGTCATAACTATGTATATTGAAATGTATATGATTTATATTCATTTGATGTTTAGGACATCAATGGATCAGTCTCTTATTAATATATGTGCATCCTCTTTTTTGTATTTCCTCGATATAACTTTCATTCATAAGTATGATAAGCTAATATGGATAGTGGCTAGTAGTGGAATCTAGTTTGACATACATTTCGTCCTACTTGATATTCGTCAATTGAATGTGGCTGTATCTCAAAGTTTTTGTTCACTCCGGGACTCTAAGTGGATAACACGTTAGCATTTGAAGCGACCAGTACTGGGTTCGAGTCTCGAAGTGAACATAAAGGAATTTGAGGTGCAATGACACCCAACTGACAAGTCTCAAATAGGATGAAACGCGTACCCTGAAATCTAGCGCTAACATCTATCTGTCTTTGTATATATTATTTATAGCTTAAATACCTAGTGGTTTAACCAAACAATAGTTTAATTTGAATAATAATTATTGTTATTTTGAAGGTTCTAATATGTTAAGCCGTAAATATCTAGGCTATTTGTTCCTACGGTGAGACTTTAAATTATGGACGAGCCAGTGAGAAGCGTTTTAGGAATTTCAAGGTTACGGTGCCAACTTCAGTGCTTAATGCTTATGTACGATCGGTTCACATGGAATTTTCTACAAACCGTGATCATTGAGTGGCTATAACAAATAAAAAGGCGAGACTACAATTTGTGGACGAATCAATCAGATATAAGATAATAGATCTCGGATTTTCACACGAAAGTTTTTCATCCATATGGCTAAATAGATTTCTGGCATTATAGCTGATGTCAGTTCGTGATGAAAATCCCCATATATAATTCCTATCTAAGACAAATTGTGACAATGATTGCGAGCTGGATAATAAAAGCATCAGTAACACTGGTTGCAGTCAGGTACTACAATATATAAGGATGATTGGACAGCGTACAGACTCCTACATAGACTTGGCTATGTGTATCGTGTCGTGCACTCAACGACTTGAGTGCATATAAACAATATTGAAGCTATGTGATCGAGGCTGAAAGAGTTTTTGAGATTTTATCATGACTCCTGAGGTCGACTATTCTGTAGCCGTATGGATGATTTCCTCTACTGCATGCATTACGATTTTAGAACCTCTGAACCTCTTTCTAACCTTGACAAGTTTTTGAACCACGTATAAGAAGTGTATCCACTTTATTTTCTTTGGTTTTGTATAACGTACTTTTACTCCATACGGACTATTTGCTGATTGTCTAATATTTCTCACGGTCACTTAAGATTCGTTCAATGGTTGTCCATAAATTGGAGTCTCGCCCTAAATCTTATTCCTAATCTCTAACCATCAACTTTAAATCATAATTCTAATTCCACACACACACACACACAGGTTTATAACGCTCATTTGATCCTAGTTATTAGATGGATACTCTGAAGGTCAGTTTAGCGTCACTCTAAGATCGTCCATAAATTATAATCTTATCAGATTTAGGGTTTTTCATCACGAATTGACATAAGCTAAAATGCCAAAAGGTTATTTAACCAAAAGGGATGAATGAACTTCGCTCCAAAATCCAAGACCTATTATCCTATACCTGATTGGTTTGTTCATAAATTCTAGTCTTGTCGCATAGTTTATTCAGGTGCCTTTATGAAAACTGTACAACCTTTCGTTGTACAAGTTAGAAAAAGATACAATCAAAGTCATCTTAGTGTTTGGCAATATGGATTAAAAAATAAATGAACATCATTCAGATATCGATTTCTGAATTGTCAACATCTAATCGTTGATCAATCAATATCGATCATCAGTATCGATCAACAACAAAAGCTAAAACAAAAAAGGAAATTAGTTGAAATAGTTTATGCTGAACATTCTATATTCCAAAGAGTTTCCATTCCTTATTTGTTGATTGATCCTCACGATCAATACTGTATGATCATTAGTTAAGTGTAAACAGTTCACAAATTCATATCAGGATCATGTTTATTGTTTTCAATGCATATTGTCAATAACTATGAT